CTCACTCACTCACTCACTGCACACTATCGAGTAGACCAGGGTCATTTTTTGAGTGAATACCAACTGACGATCCAGGGAAACCTTTGGCTCACCACAGACGACCCATGGTTTTTTTCCACAATGGATCCATTTTCTTTTTCTGTTTGGTCAGTCAGTCAGTCAGTCAGTCAGTCAGTCAGTCAGTAAGTCACTCACTCACTCACTCACTCACTCACTCATTCACTCACTCACTCACCCACCCGTCCACTCACTCACTCACTCACTCACTCACTGCACACTATCGAGTAGACCAGGGTCATTTTTTGAGTGAATACCAACTGACGATCCAGGGAAACCTTTTGGCTCACCACAGACGACCCAGGTTTTTTTTCCATAATGGATCCATTTTCTTTTTCTGTTTGGTCACTCACTCACTCACTCACTCACTGCACACTATCGAGTAGACCAGGGTCATTTTTTGAGTGAATACCAACTGACGATCCAGGGAAACCTTTTGGCTCACCACAGACGACCCAGGTTTTTTTTCCATAATGGATCCATTTTCTTTTTCTGTTTGGTCACTCACTCACTCACTCACTCACTCACTCACTCACTCACTCACTCACTCACCCACCCGTCCACTCACTCACTCACTCACTCACTGCACACTATCGAGTAGACCAGGGTCATTTTTTGAGTGAATACCAGATGCCAGGCGCAACCATGTGTCAATCACTGTACAGAAACTGACACGCTGAGCCATTTTCTCGTCAGTTTCATCTTCTTCTAAATTACACACGCCCACCGATCTCTACTTTTCCCAGCGATACAATTCCCACATATCACACGTTCTGCAGGGACAAATAACTATCAGTGTCTGTTTTGTTTATACAAAAAACTGAGCATCTTTGATTATAGACGTGCTACTGATACAGACTATTTCTTCTGTCCATGTGATCGCTGAAGACTCCCACAAAACACGGAAGTTGTGTTTTCCCCACGTGAGTGTGTGCAGAAGGACCACTTATAGTCATAACAGGGCGATGGACAACAGTCTTTTAATTTTTCTCTTCAGAAGGGGAGCGGTGTATTATTTTGTGTTTTTTGTTTGTTGTTTTAAGTTACACACTTTTTATCGGATCACTTCTATCTTAAAGATAAAACAATAAGTCTACATAAAAAGGATCAGCTCCTTAAATCAGCTCGACTGTTGTGGGTGTATGTTACACCAGCCAGCTATGTTACCGGCCCAGGTTGCTTAGTCACTTAATGTTGAATGACAGAATCCTATTGTCCTGGTTCGAATCTCACATTCTTTCTGAACCACCATATCGGTGTGCGTTGGTTGCACACAAAGTGGTATAGCCACACCGTGATACAAGTGGAATACTGTAAGTTCAAATCGGCGTTAAACCCAACTCACTCACTCAATTATTATAAGGGAGGAGTTCAATAGTTCCCATCCTCGACCATGCAGGGTATACTATATCCACTCTGTAATGATTAATACCCTTGATCCATTCGCTGCAAATAGGGGCGGCTGGGTAGCCTTGTGGGTAAAGCGTCACGCCGAAGACCAATGCGTGAAGCCCTTTTCTGGTGTCCCTCGCCGTGATATAGCTGAAATACAGCTAGAAGCGGCGTAAAACCATACTCACTCCCTACTCACTACAAAGACTGATCTAGAATCAGACATATGGTTACATCCTATGATGACAGCCACAGTGGCGAATGATTCCATGGTAATTATAAAAATATAAAGGAAATATATGACATTAGATAATCGAGGTTGCCTGGATACTGATATTATTCCTGTCACGAGTAATATACACCGGTAACGTTACTGACACGTGAATGCCGTATAACGAGGTGAGTTAAAGTACGGAACTCACTTTCATGTAGAATAGTGTAAATATGTTCAAGGTGTTGGCAAATCTTCTACTCCTGCAGCTGTTTTAAGTGAGGGTGGTCGGTGTAATATATATTGTGATTCACTCACCAGGTGCATTAAATATTGGTGGAAACTTGTCGGATACTAGATATCCAAAACAATGTCATGACATGTTGGGAATATTGGACGAGCAAGGCAGAATTCCATGGGCCTCAAATGTTAAGAAATTACTTTATTCATGTTGTTGTGTGGAATAATCAAAGTCTAGGAAACATTGATTTATTTCTTTTAGAATTTCAACAAAGAATTAAAGACTGTTGTGTTCAATCTCTTTTTTCAACGCTAAATGAGCATTCAAATTTATTTTTACTCCACGATAAGGTCAACTTTCGCAATTGAACCATATTTGCTGCATGCACACCAGAGACTAAAGAAGATATTAAACATTAATAAGAATTGGAGAAATACAAATTATGAAACATATAGGCAGGCGGGAGGGTGTAGCTAGAAATCTTACATTTTGTCCTTTTTGTAAAAATATTACAGAAGATGGGTTACCCTTTTTTAGTATGCCCAACTTATGATATTCTAAGACACACATATTTTCACAACACTAACTTAACTTAATATATTCTCTCAGAACTTTACTACAAACTTCTACCAATGAAAACTTGTCATTATGTGCTAAATACATTAAAGATGCCCTATCTTTACGTTCTTCATTATTATAATTCTAATTTGTACTTTAACTGTTCATTGTACATCTTGATATTGTACCACCACTTTGTATACGATACATGTATCTATACTGCACTTGGGCATGTGGCCTTTATTATTGATTAAAAGTATCGGAGTCGTTATATCCGGACCTGTATTTTTAACTTCGTGGAGGCGGTAGGTAGATATGTGGTGCAGGTGGTCGCTCGTGTATCGGAAGACTGGGTTCGATTCCCGGGATTGAGTGTGCCACGTCGTGATACTGCTTGAAAGCCTGGGAACATTCGCGTTAGAATTGTCTTCAGAAACGCATGCTTCGCGTAAGAAGCGGCCACCGGATCGCTGTATCGCATGTCATCGTATCCCAATTACGTAGATCGATGCTCATGATGGTAATCACTGGATTGTCTGCTCCAGACTCGATTATTTACAGACCGCCGTCAAAAGCTAGATTTTTGCCTGGTGCGTAAAACAACAAAGAAAGAAAGAAAGAAAGAAAGTAAGACAGAAAGCAACAAACAAACTGCCGCATGAAAGATAGTTGACAGCGGCATAACCACGAACTAAAAACTGTCTGTGTGACTTTGTTTCGTCTTCAACACACAGATATTTTCCAAATCTTAGTTTTTAATCAAGGTGCTCACATGATTTGATGCACTTCGCGATGTAATACCCGTTTTATCACAGTACAGATCTTGATTATCGATCAGATCGAATTGACTGGGCACCGCAATTTTTGGTTGAAGCAAATGCAAATAATACGAGAGGTGGAATCTGATTGGTCCATAGGAGAGTTATTGAAGGGACATAACTCGAAAAAGCCACTGGTGGCGCTACGATAGAGCCCAGGAATTTCAGCCTAGTTCGGCAAGGGTGGAAACTGGACTTTTGAAGTCAGTTAACTCTCTTGCCTCGGGAAGATGTTTGTTGTGGGGATTTTGTGAAACTTGTTTCTTTTTTATTCTGCTGAATAATCATTTGATTAATTTATGAGAAAAGTTCTGAAACATAAACGAATGGCCATAAAACAACCATTTCTAAATCTCTCCAGACATCAAACAGGCAAGCCACGCTCTACTAGACAGAATATTAACACGGCCTGTTACAGTTTCAATAAAAAGATAAGAACGAAGAGTTATTTTAGTGTTAATAACAATTTCTTTGCTTAGTTATTTCTTTTCCATATCAGGAGTTTTTATTTTCCGATTTATTGTGTTATGGCAATCTTTATTTCATCTTGATCAATTCCAATATTAACTCTGCCGGTTGAGAAAAAATGTCAACACGTTCAATGACTGTTTACAATATCTCTCATTCCGTCAAATTAAATATTTAATCAGTCAGTCAAACAACAAAGAAAATAGATTTCCCCGTAGGCTTCTCCGAAGACTATGACATTAAGAGTGAAGAACTTTAATTTGACTTCATCGCTTGTCCCATTTCCTCAGAAGTTACCTTAAAACAAAACCGAAGAAATACGGCTTCATTTCCCGAAGCGAAAGACGAATACATTATTGATAGCCGTGAGCGATTGAATTCCTCAGTCAATTGAAAAGGATACAAGCATTTTTTCTACGCGTTGTAATCCACGTTCTAGCAAAGAACTACATAGAACACAAGTAACTGCTAACTACACACTACCAACGTCATGATCATCGCACATTTACGCTGACCATGATAAAAATGTACATGTAAATTATGTGTAAAGGTTGTGTAAAAGGTTTAACGATGTGAGAACATTGAAAACAGCACTAAAACTCGTGTGAATGTTCGGATAAATAATTCGAAGGGGATTCTCATTTTATCCGAGAGACTGTATCATGTATGTGAACAAAACATCAATTCTCACCTGGTGAACGATTACTGCTAATTCAAATGTTTAAAGTCCGGATTTTAAGCATCACCGATGAAGCCGTGGTATGGATTAAAGGGAGATTATCAGCTCAGCCGTAAGGCAATACAGTTTTGCAACGTTATCAACCGCCTATAAAGCACGAATATCTCAGGCAAGAATATCTATTTATCTAAGTGCGCACGACCAGGCAGAACACGTGCATCGATATTTATTAGCGGTCGCGGACGATATATCTAGGTTTATGCTAAACATGACCTCAATCAAAGGCAAAGCTCTCATAACAATATCATAAAATATATATTGATATTGGAAGGAAATCCCGCGGGATGCAATCTTCAGCTGATCATGCATTTATAGGCTTAGCAACTGTATACTTAGTACATTTTTTCTTGGTTACGCAGCATCGTGATTCTGGTCGGCCAGCGCCGATAAAATGCTTGAATATGAACATGTCAGCGAAAGCCTCGTATTACACGGGAGGTAGAATGATAATATTGATTTGACACGTGTAACTAAAATTTCTTTCAGGCATGCAGCCATTTCAGATGCGCATTGGTGTATTAGGAAGGATTACATCGCGGTAAGCAATCTTGCGTTAAAAGGAACTTCGTGAACGAAAGATCGAATGCGGAATTTTATGCCCCGGTAAGCATTGTTGAATTTCTCAAGGAATTCATCAAATGTGAACGAGGCATATCTGTCAAAGACCTCATCCTAATTACCCCGGTCGAAGGAATAGGTTCAACCTGCAATGACTGTGTGGATCGAAGACGAGTCTTCAGTTTAGTGTGCATCGTGTAAAATTCAGATTTTCAAGATTTGATCTTCAGTGCATTAATCATTCATAGAAGTTGGGATATCAGACATTCATTATGATGGTCAGCTAGCCCCGAGATCTCGTTACTCCTGACGAGAGTTGTCTTGCCACACTGAGAACAATGAGAATGCGAAATGATTGACTTGGGAAAATTAATCGTACTTGGGAATATGGAAAGCGTATCGAATATTTCACATAACGGACATGTGATGGAACAGCTCGGGGCATTGTAAATATTTTGAAATTCCTTCGAGTGAAAGTGATGTGCCAATTTGATGCCAAGGAATAGTTTGGAACGCTCTCCCAAGCGCCGAAATGGGCATTTCGGTGTGGTCTTTAACTGTAATGGGGTGTTTTTCCTGATAGTGTCTGGGTTCAGTCAATACTGACTTACCAATGGATTTTCTCACGGAATAAAAGATTGCTTCGACTTGCGAAAATATCAGGAAAAAGCTAATTATCACGATTCTCAGAAGTTTTTGTGGATAAATGTAAAATGTACCGACTCGATAAAACCGATGTTACATTCATACTGAGATGTTTGCCTTGCAACAAATGGCAAGCGTCACGCTTAGCCCTATAAAAGCATATGATTTGAGCTGGAGCCAAGATTAGTCTGTAATAAAATCGCCTCTGAATGCGGGATTACGTTTTCGTACCAGCTTATATAGTTCGCTTATATGACAGCAGAGTTATGGAAAATTGACAAAAGTTTCTTGTACACACGCAATCGTTTCACAATGCCATCTCAACCTCGGGCAAGCTGATTCGCCAACCAACTTAGCGACTGTATAAACATCATCAGTGACTCATCAAATCAAAGCTGGACTGACCAGTCCACTGACCGGTACACTCCTCGTATCGATACAGTCCAAAACAAAGCCGCTGTATCGAATTATCGACTTTCATATCAAAGCTCTGAATACGGGACTTTTTCATTGCGGGTTCGCTATATATTCACGTGCAGTGCTACAACGAACGTCCAAACAATCGCACGCGGGCTCCGGGGCTAGAAATGCGATACACTCTCACTTGGAAAAACGGCAGCCGACAGAAGTCGACGTTCAGCTAATTGGAGGGGGTTTGATAAAGGCGCAGGGATCTAACACTGTGACGACACGGGGGATACCAGATCGCTTCGTCGACATCGACAACAGTTGCCACAATGGGCAGGCAGTGGATCTCGCTAAGTGTGTTGTTCATTGCGTGTACATTTCAACTGACTGACGTAGCAGGTGGGTGCTGTGCTTTTCGTGATCAATGTCGAGTGTGTGTACATTTCGCTCTTATTGCCATCAATCAAATACATGTAATGGCAAAAGTATTCTTTCTGAGGAGAAATACCGCTCCCATATTTCCTTCGTATGCATTATAGCATATACATTTATAGATATTTTGTTTATGATGAGAATTTTGAATTCGTTTATATAAAAAGGCATATTTGTTTCGTGTTTATTTGATGGATATGAAGATCTCTACATTTATTGGGATCGCAGACAACTTTATCATTCTAAATTAAGTTTGATCTTTTCTTCGCCAAACATACATATGTATTTATCACCCGTTGTAGAGTCAATATTTTAGATCTAAATCCAAATGATTGAAACATAGTGGCATGGGTGACATCGATTTGCTTTCATAAATAAACAATCCCAATAAGACATGAAGAACGATAGCACCTGTTAAACAGTTTGCCTTCGAGCGGTGAATTGGTGCACATCCTAGGAAATCTGGTTCAGTGGGTTTGATACACATTATTCCTCACAACGTTCAAAGGTGATGGCTGAAACTAAGCCAGGTAATATTGGAGCTCACCCAAGCGTCTTGTATACGTCATGCCAGGAAAGAAACATGTTCAGTGTAGCACCTTAACCTCGGTGAGGAGTTTAGGTAAGGATTTGAACCTCTTAACGAATTCCAGGTGAACTGTTTTTAGAATTATTTCAGTCTAAACACGATTTGCGTGAATCGTTACCTATGTAACATTTAACATGTAACTTGTAACATTTAACATGTAACTTGTAACATTTCAACCACCTGTGTCATTTATGTTTTAAAATGGCACTGAAGGGAATAGTGAAAGACGTGTGGTTATCGAACGGCGTGTGGTCCACATAATCTTATCCATCGTGATGAGGAGGGATGTCGGCTATTGCTGATGTAGATGCAGTCCTTGCTTGAGGGATATCGTGTGGCATGTTTCGTGTGCGTTATTCATCAGTACGTAATGAAAGTATTTTTACACACAGCGACGCATGCATGTATGTTGTGTGCGTTTAGTGGTGGGTCTGAACGTCATTAGAAGTATGCCCCGCTTGATATGCGTCCAATGTTACTGTTGCCTTCAGGTGATGCTGTTTGGGTTTCGTTATTACGTGTACAACACCATTAGAAATAATGATAATAATGGTAAGAATAATCATAATTATTGCAGAAACATGATGATGGCGACATAATGGTCAAAATATTTTTGTTGATAAAACATGGTTATTCTAATATAATGATACGCTGGTGATGATGATGATGATGATGATGATGGTGAGGATGAGGATGAGGATGGTGATGATGGGTATCACAGTGGACAAGTTGATTGTTCATGACAGCATCATTCCAGCCAACATATTGTTTTCACGCGCCCTTCATATGGAAGTTGATTGAGTGAGTGAGTTGGGTTTAACGCAGCTTTGAACAGTATTGCAGTTATATCACGGCGTGTCATCTTAATTTTGGAGGAAAGCCCGAAGTGATGCAGGTCTAAGACCTTTAACACTTTGGTAAAACCCACGAGCACGGTATGGTGCTGGCAAACCTAGATCATAATATAGGCGAATCGGGATTCGAACCCACGCAGAAGTTAAATATGAATCAAAATGATAACGGATTTATGTAATAAAATATGATTTGTATGAGATCAACGTTCAGTGTGATTATAGGGTTGTTCACAGCTATAATACACCAACCTACAATTTACAATCTCAGAAAATGCCCTCCCTCTCGGCTTTCAACTGTTGAAGAATTATCTGAACGCGAAGGGATCCATTTGTAACGGGAAGCATTTTGACTCCGCACCGGAAGCTTAAGGTCTCCAGCTGGAATGAGTCGCGTTTCGCTGTAATACGCTCGGTAAATCCCGATATGATTACGTGTCTCGTGAATAGATTCATAACGGGATTAAAACGAGACATTGAGAACGTTGAAATATTAGAACACACGTAACCACACAAGTCACAAAATCCCCTGACAATAGCATTTCCATGTAACGCACCATCATCCGTACGGCACACTGCTTTTGACATGCTTAATGGGGATTTTACATCGGGAATAGGAGAATTTATTAAAGCAGTGGAAAATTCCTGTGATATATGACGATATGAATTTCACAAAAGCATGCAGTGTGCCAGTGGAGTAGAATTATTGTTCTGCATCAAACATCACGACAAGCCGAAACTCAGGTGTCAATAATGACGACACCCAGTGTTCTATGTAAATGTGATATGAGATATACATATTCGCTATGACGTAATACTAAATTCTTTGGTAGCTGCGGTAACTATGGTAACTATGCTGATGCAACTGCTTATTTCGCTTCTATCAGTACTCACGTCGCTGCAAATACGACTATAACAAATACTGTCGTCACAGCCTCTAGTATTACCAATACTGTTATTGCTTTGATGGGGCGGTGGGGTAGCCTTGTGGTTAAAGCGTTCGCTCGTCACGCTGAAGACCCGGGTTCGATTCCCCACATGGGTAAAATGGGTGAAGCCTATTTCTGGTTTCCTCCGCCGTGATATGACTGTACTATTGCTAAAAGCGGCGTAAAACCATACTCACTCACTCACTCACTCACTATTGCTTTGATATGTACTACACATTTTACCGTTACAGCCTATAGCATTTTTCATAGCGATGTTACCTATACAAGTACTACATTTTCTGTTGTTGCTAATGATAACAGTAAACCGACGGGCTAAAGAAAGTATACACCCATTTTTAAGGGTGGCTAAAAATTAAAACGAACAAAAAATGGTTATTCGATGGTGATGTATTTGATACGGGTATCACAGTTATGTTTTTGACAGTTTTCGGCAACGGTTTTCACAGCGCTGATAATTTTTTTGGTCAATTTTCAAGTGTCTTGTTTTTCCCGGTAGCCTACAACAGATGCTGTTGCTGTTAGTACGAGTACTACAGATGCTGTTGCTGTTAGTACGAGTACTACAGATGCTGTTGCTATTGGTACGAGTACTACAGATGCTGTTGCTATTGGTACGAGTACTATAGATACTGTTGTTACCGTTACTGTGGAGCTTTTCTATAACTCGAAAGTGAGATCGGGGTCACCGCGTGTGACCTGATTGTTTGTTATCGTACATTGACGGCGTTGATTGTTACTCATGCTATCAACCACTGGTTCGTCTGATCCGGACACATTATCCAAGCAACTACCGTTTGATAGCCACGTGACACAAGTCACTACTTCACTCACTCACACTCCACTGCTGTTGTGTTTGGAGTGAGTGAGTTGTGTTTAACGCCGCTTTTAACATTATTCCAGTCACATCCCGGCGTGTCAGCTTAATGTGGGAGGAAAGCCCCAAGAGATGCAGGTCTTAGACGTTTTCCACTTCAGTGAAACCCAAGAGCACGGGATGGGTGCTGATAAACCTAGAAACATAATCGGGGCGAACCGGGATTCGAACCCACAATCATAGGTTTCTGGCATGCCGAAGGGACGCAACTCTGCACAGCGAATTGCGGCGCCTTAGACGACTGGGCCACCCGTGCCCCCTGATGTGTTTGGAAGAAGTCTGATGAATTTAGATGCAGCGTTAAGCAATATTTTTTCACTGATGTACTCCCCAAGTTAGATCCTCGTGCAACTAATGTCGATTTACTAATACTACGACATTTGCGTTATCGTTCATGTGGTTAACAAACGTCGACCGCCTTCATGGTCAGATTGACAGAGTGTCCGAGCGGAAAGTCGGTGGTTCGATCTCATGCCCCGTCATACCAAGAGACGTTAAAAGATGGTACTTATTGTTACCCTGTCTGGCGCTCGGCATTGAGGGGACAAAAGCAACGACTGGTCGGCACGGAGTCCGTGTACTGTGTCGGAATGGGGTATCCATGATTAACTGTGGCTGGTATCTCAGTGAGGCAGTTCTGTAAAACCAGCATCCGGACTAGTACAAGCAGCTCCCTCTCAACCAACACACAATACATACGTATATATATATACACGTATACATACGTACACGCCGCACTATACGTGCATAAACCTCACCTCACCAACAACCTTCGGGTTTTTCGACGTTCAGCTAGAACAATTTTCGGTTGTTACGAAGTCCGGATAGAGCAGTTTTAAGGTTATTACGAAGTTCGAATGGAACGTTTTTTTGGTTATTACTAAGTACGAATAGAACAATTTCCGGATAGATGTTCGGATAGAACAGTTTTCGGTTTTATTTACGAGGTTCGGATAGAACAATTTTCGGTTTTGAAGACGTTCGGATAGAACAATTTTCGTTTTTTACGACATTCGCATGGAACAAGTTTCGTTATTTACGACATTCGCATGGAACAAGTTTCGGATATTACGAAGTTCCAACGAGATTGTTATATTTCGGATTTGACTGTGCATCTATTTCTTCAATAGCAACGACTGCCTCTCCACCTACTACAACATGTACAACTACTGTGCTACATTGACAGTACCGACGACAACCCTCATCACTAGACCCATGTCATTAGCGTCGAGGGGGTCTTATTCAGCAAATTAATGTCGTACACACGTGTAGTATGACCCGTTCTGACCCACGTGAACCAACTAGATCATCCTGACTTGACAAGCAGTTGTCAGCTGCATTTATCAGTAGGGTAAAAATTCCCAACACAATTGTTCCCAGATCTGTCCGGCACTCAACAGATCTCTCAGAGGGACGTTTCCCAACCTCGAGAGTTCGCGATGCATCTGTTCCGTGCAGTCGTCTTAGTCTGATAAAGTGGACAGATTTTCTTCGCCAAGTGGGAATGCTTTTAGAACTCTAGAAAATCTATTTTGATATCTTTATTCACGAAGATTGCGTGACGAGTGGAGGTTATTCTCCTAAGATATGTAACACTGCTGTCTTCACTGACAGATAAAGTAAGGATGTCGTCTCACAATAGACGATGTTGTACGGTAATAGGCTGGAGATTTTTGTGATTAGCGGAGTATGCCGTGAAGTGT